CTGTTTGCAGGGGCTTGTCTGCCCGAGTTAGGGGCTTTTACGATGAAGCATACCTGGGTTATCAGTGAGTCTATTATTTATTATTTTTATTGAACATTTCAGTTCTTAAGTTGTTTGATAAAAAAATACAAAAAAGGGGACGCCTGCAGAGTAACATTTGCCGTATCTTTTCAGTCACAGGAACATCAAATGGTATTATATTAGTATATTAGATATAATAAAATAAATTTGAACAAAGAAATTTAATTTTTTAATTCGAACAATAAATATTACATTTCAAAGAATTTGATTAAACTTTAAAATATACAAGGGATATTTTTAATACGTATTCTATTGTGTTATTTCGTGAATTTATTGCATCGTTATATTTTAAGGTTTCAATTCGGTGTAAGTATACAGAAAATAAAGGGACTATTTTGAATGAAATTTATTCGATCAATCCTAGAGAGAAATTGAACATGGGATTGCTTTTAAAGAAACGTACGTATGTAACAAATTGCCTCGCCAAGTATTACGTTATAGATTTTGGCTAATTTAACAAAAAAAGACTGTAACTGTAATGTTATAATAAAGTTAACTACTAACTTTATGTTAAGCAAAATTATTTTAATAAAAAAAAATAAAAAAAAATGGTTTTGATATTTTATTATAAACTAGCTGTGACCGCGATTTGGTTTGCATACAAAAATTTTCTTCTATTCTTTCAAAACCGGTTAAGTTAGTAATTTACTTGCTTTATTATTACTTTTCACGACCGTTGCAACAAAAATATACTAAATTAGTAGTAGTGTAGCCTTCACAATTCCACTGCTGAACATAAGCCTGCCCCAAACATCTCTGCATCCATCGACTTCCTGCACAGGTCATCACTCCATCTAGTGGCACCCTACACTTTCCCATTGTGCTGGGAGACGTAAACGCGAAACTAGTTACAAGAGAAAACGGTAATGTGAAGGTAGGGAAATTTGGAACGAGGCAACGGAACCCAAGGGACAGGCAGCTGGTCGATTTCATGGAGAAAGAGTCCCTCTCCTTATGATAAACTCTTTCTTTAAGAAGCGGCCCTGCATAAAGTGGGCCTGGTCAAGCCCCAACGGTTCGATAAAAAATGAGATTGACTTCATTGTGACGACTAGACGACAACAGTTCAGTGATGTCGCAGTGATCGCGTGGCTGAAAACTGGCAGCAATCACCGAATGGTTAGAGGTACACTGAACTTAAACCTTAAATTGGAGAGGCTCCGTCTAATGAAGTAAAAGCTCTGTCCTTCTCGTGCTCTAATTCAGAGTCGCAAAAAAAGCTCGTGTTACAAATTCGTTTTCAGTGCCTAAAAGATTGCAATGAAGTGGAAGATATAAATGACAAGCTCGTGAAAACTGTCCATGCGATCGGAATTAAGTTCTACAAGACCCACCGCAGAAGAACAGAAGAACTATCTGATCAAACTCTTAATCCCATGGCTGTTAGACAGGAAATGAAGCTGCAGCATTCAGTAGATTTGATAGCATATTGACGACTGAATAGACAGATCTCCAAATGCATGCGGCGGGACTTACGCAACTTCCATAAACTCGTATTGAAGAAACGATTGAACTAAACCAGGGCTCCAAAGTCTTTACCAGAGATCTTTCTGTTAGAAAAAGCCAAAAGTCGAAGGTAAAGACCGCATATATCAGTATTGTTTCCGAGACACCAGAGATTTTGAGTAAGATTGAGAGGTTGCATAGGCATCTGTACACATCCGACACTATTCCGATGATATTCTGGACGTGAGTCTGAGCGAAATTAGAATGGCTCGCCAGCACCTTATAAACGGCAAGTCCCCGGGCGAGGATGGAATTACAGCGGTGGTTCTGAAAGCGGGTGGAAAACCGGTACTTGAAGTCCTTCAAAAGCTCTTTAATTCTCTCCTCCGTGGTAGCCATTCTCTGGAGGCGTGGAGCAGAAGTGCGGTGGTCTTGTTCTTCGAGAAAGTTGACAACGCTTTCTTGAAGAACTACAGACCGATTTCCCTTCTGAGCAAGTAGGCGCACTTGCTGTTTTCGAGTCATTACGAATCATCTTGCATTTAGATTCAATGACTTTCTGCCTCCTGAAATATCCGGCTTTCGAAAAGGCTTGATCATCTTAAACCACATATATACTCTTTGACAAATCGTATAGAAGACCAAGGAGTACAATCTGCCAATATGTCTTGCCTATGTGGACTATGAGAAATCCTTTAATTCCGTCGAATTTTGGGTGGTGCTGCCGGCACGTCAGCGGTGCCAACTTGACTGCCGGTATATCGAAGTGCTGCCGTGTTTGTGCAGTAAGACTACGATGGCTATCCGATTAAAGAACTAGAGTATGCAACCTATCCAATTGCAGAGAGTTGAATGAGAAGGTGATGTTATATACCCAAAAATCATCACCACAGAATTGGAAGACGTTTTAAAGCTACTGGACTGGAAAAGATACGGTATTACGATACGATATGGCGAGTACATCACTCACCTTTGGTTTGCTGACGATATAGTCCTTATGGCAGAATCGCAAGTGGAACTAAGCACTATGCTCAATGACCTCAATAGTGCCTCCCAACGGATAGATCTTAAGAGACAAAACTAAGGCCATATGTAACGTCCATGTCACACATATTCCGGTAGCTCTTAGGAGCACTAAGCTCGAATTTGTTGACGAGTATGTTTACCTGGGACAAATAGTCCGACTAGGTAAGCCCACTTTCTATCAAAAGCTCAATCAACAGATTTTATTCGGCTGGGCAGCGTTCGAGAAATTACGACACATCTTCTCGTAAGGTATACCTTAATGCCTGTAAACGAGGTTGACAACCAGTGCGTGTTGCCTGTGATAATTTATGGATCGGAAACGTGAGCCTTCCCCGCTGGCCGTATGAGAAAGCTCAAGGTCATTCAGCAAGATATGGATAGGGCTATGCTCGTGGTTTCTCTGCGTGATAGGTTAGAAATGAGGATATCCGCAGTAGAACCAGAGTGACTGATTTAGCCCAATGGTTTAGTTGGAGTTTAAAATTAGTAAGCTGAAGTGGATATGGGCCAACTGTATAGCTCGAAGAACCAACAACCGATAAGTAAAAATGGTTCTTGAGTTGCAGCCTCGTACAGGTAGTTGAAGTGTAGGGCAACCTCCAACTGGATGGAGTGATGACCTGGTAAGCCATGCAGAAAATCGATGGATGCAGGTAGGTGGCTTAAGACCCTACTTTGTGGCATTCCTTGGGGGAGTCTAATTTCAGCAGTGGACTTGTAAAGGGCTGTAATGATGATTATGTTGGTGATTGTTCTTAATTTTTAAATATTATGTGACATCAAGAAAAAACCTAAGCTAACCTATTTATATATATGTATATTTATATTCTTTATATATATATATATATATATATATATATATATATATATATATATATATATATATATATATATTTTTTATATATATATATATATATATTTAACGGTAAACGCTCGCTGTAAATATAACAGAACGTGAGTAACCCGGGTTCGATCCCCGCCCAATGAAATTATTAAATGCAATTTAAGGTGCTGATTTACCACGTGCTCGGCGGTGAAGGAATACATCTTGAGGAAACCTGCATGTCTGAGGCATAAGAAAAAAAAATATTTCGCAGACATGTGAAGTTCGCCAACACGCATTGGGGCAGCGTGGCGAACACTTCCTTGCCCTAAAACCCTCTTGGAAATGAGGGGGAGGCCTGTGCCCAGCAGTGGGACGCAGCCTATAGGCTGTAACTTTACTTTTTTTACTTTACAATAAGTAACATGGAAGTTATGAATAATGTCCCATTAATCACTTGGTCCATAACATACACACTTTTAGTATATAAGTTATATTACGTATGTATACACTAAGTCACTGAATTCTTCTCCTGCCGTCGCCGAATCATTACTTAAACAAAACGTAAATGTGTGTACAAAGAATTTTACATTTCATAAAGTGTCATCAAAAGATATTGTAAAATATTTTAAGACTATTGATATTAAGAGAACCGCCGATCTGTGGGGGATTTCCGTTAAAGTTAGTGCGTCTATAATAGATATAATCGCACCTCAACTATCTATTATTTTTAATACTAGTATCGAATCTGGTGTGTTTCCTGATTTAATGAAGCATAGTAAAGTAATACCTTTATTTAAATCTGGTAGTAAATTGGACCCCGCTATTTTCAGACCTATTTTTGTACTGCCAACACTTAGTAAAATTTTTGAAAAAAATATTCTTGATCAAATGTTAAATTTTTTTAATGTAAATAATTTACTTCATAAAAATCAATTTGGTTTTAGCAGGGGTCGCTCGACAACTGATGCTGGTGTTGAGCTGATTAAATATATATTTAATGCATGGGAGAATTCACTGGATGCTTTGGGTGTGTTCTGTGACATATCCAAAGCCTTCGATTGTGTTCACCATGAAATATGGATCAGGATCAAACTTCAACGCTACGGTGTAAGAAGCGATGCTCTTAAATTAATTATTTCATATTTTAGTGACAGAACGCAAAAAGTTGTCATCAATAGTATGAGATCTTCCGGGACGATTGTACAAATGGGCGTGCTTTTTATTCTTGTATATATTAATGACTTACCTTACATAGTAGGGGATAACCATGATAAAGTATTATTTTCTGATGATACTTCATTAATTTTCAAATTAAAACGACAGTTATTAAATTATGACGAAGTAAATAATGCTATAGCTAAGCTAGTCAATTGGTTTAATGTTAATAACTTGGATTTGAATGGAACTAAAACTAAATGTATTAAATTCGTCAGTCCTAATGTTAAACATGTCAATACTAATGTAATTTTAAATGGGGGAGGAACTGAGTCTTGTTGATAATAATAATAATGGCAATCTGCCGTATCATAGGCGTCAAGGTTTCCACGGCTGGACGCGCTACTGGACATAGTAGCGCTATCCCAGCATGGAGAAGAAGAATTGAGGAACGTATCGCAAAGGCATGGCTCTTATCGGCAGACTGATATGCTTCAGATCAGGAAATAACAGGCCAAGAATTATGCGCACCGTCAGGATGGCGTTTGCTGGGACAAATGTCAGTTTATCCCAGCCGGATATAACGCAAAAACTGATGGAGCGCATAGATGATCTGAAGCAAAGGATCGCTGCTTGGGGAAAGCGGATTCGGCGATATACCGAGAGGTCGACACGGTTCAACCAGAATCGTCTCTTCCAGAGAGATCAGAAGAGGCTCTATGCATCATTTGAGCGACCAATAGTAAGTGGAACGGGCCCAGCACCAAATAAGGCCGACACTGTAGCATTCTGGCGCGGCCTGTGGTCAGAGCCCGTAAACCACAGCGAAGGCCCTTAGACGGAAGTTGTGGCGAGTCAGTGTGCGGGTATTACGCCCATGGACCCCATCATCATAACACCGGATGACGTAGCTGAGGCGGTCCGTAGGGCCCCAAACTGGAATAGTCCGGGGCTTGATGGACTGCATCAATACTGGCTGAAGGGGTTCATGGTGTGTCACTCTGTGCTCGCCCGACAGTTTCAAGTGGCTCTCAACCAGAAGTCGCTCCCAAGCCTCTTCACTACTGGGATCACTCATTTGGTTCCTAAAGTCCAGGGTACCACAGACCCGAGCAAATACCGCCCCATCACGTATCTACCGACCATATACAAGACACTAACATCCATTTTAAGCGCGAGAATCACTCGTCACCTGGACTCAAATCAGGTGATGTCGCGCGCTCAAAATGGATGTCGGGGCGGTGGTCGTGGAACCAAGGAACCACTCCTCATTGACGCGGGCATTGGCAAAGTGGTGAAATGCAACCGTCGGAACTTCTCCACCGCCTGGATAGACTACAGAAAGGCATTCGACTCGGTGCCCCATACATGGCTAAAGAGAGTCCTCGAGCTGTACAAGATAGACTGTACAGTTAGAGACTTCCTCGAGCAGTGTATGGGGCAGTGGAGTACGATCTTTTGTCATCTGGGCGAGCGGAGGATGGCTGCGGAGAACCATATAAGGATAAGAAGGGGTATCTTCCAGGGCGATTGTCTGAGTCCAATCTGGTTCTGCCTCTCTCTGAACCCTCTCAATACCTTACTGGAGGGCTATGGGAGGGGATTTCAGCTACGGAAAGGAGGGACAAAAGTGACCTACCTTTTCTATATGGACGACCTCAAGTTATTCGCCTCCAGTCGCTCCCATCTTATGGAATTGCTAAACATCACATGTGAATTTAGCAATTCCATTGGAATGGAGCTGGGCACGGATAAGTGTGCGGTCCTCCATGTTGAAAGGGGAAGGGTTGCTAACTCTGAGGGCATAGACTTATCTATGCCCGTCAACTTAAGAACCCTTTCCGAGGCTGAAACATACCGATACCTGGGTATGTCACAAAACATCGGTATCGATGAGACTGGTATGAAACAGTCAGTTTGCGACGTGTTTTATGCACGCTTAACCAAAGTGCTTAACAGCCTTTTGTCCGGTGTGAATAAGGCACACGCATATAACGGCCTGTCCTCATGTATACCTTTGGCATACTCAGGTGGTCTCAGACTGAACTTAACGCCCTGGATAGAAAAGTCCGCACTACCATGACGTCCCATAGGATGCATCATCCGAGATCGTCGGTAATGAGGCTGTACTTGCCGCGGAAGCATGGTGGTCGTGGCTTCTTGAGCGCGCTCACCATGCATAATCGCGAAGTGTGCAGCCTCCGTGATTACTTCCTGGCGAGATTGGATGATCTATTCCATAAGGACGTCATTTCTTGTGATAAAGGACTTACCCCTCTATCCTTAGCCAACGAGCAATGGCAAGACCCGACAGTGCAGAGCATTTCCGACCGGGAGACCGTATGGAAGAAGAAGCAGCTCCACGGGAGGTTCTACAAGGCTCTTCATGAGCTACAGTAGCCTCGCACAACTGGCTACGCTTTGGCGATATCTTCGGGGAAACCGAGGGTTTTGTCTGTGCAATACAGGATCAGGTTATTAAGACCAACAACTATCGGAGATACATCCTAAAGGATGGCACCGTCGACATCTGTCGAGCTTGTCGCCATCCCGGTGAGTCACTTAGGCATGTCATCTCCGGTTGTTCGGCGCTTTCTAACTCTGAGTACTTGCACAGGCACAACCTAGTAGCCAGAATTCTTCACCAGGAGCTCGCTCTGAAATACGGTCTCGTGGATCGGAAATTGCCGTATTACAAGTACTTGCCGGAAGCCGTGCTCGAAAATTATCGCGCCAGGCTCTATTGGGACCGGGCCATCATCACAGACAGGACTATTCTTGCGAATAAGCCTGATATTGTGCTGATGGACCGGGCACAGTCAAGGATATTTTTGGTCGACATTACCATTCCGTATGACGAGAACCTCGTGAGAGCCGAAACAGATATGCAAACAAGATATCTGGACCTGGCTCACGAGGTGACCGACATGTGGGGTGGTCTGCCGAACTAAATTATTCCTGTAGTCGTCTCTGCAAACGGGCTAATCCCAGTCAGCCTCTCGGGTCATCTGAAGCGGCTGGGACTACGTGGCGGACCGCTCCAGGCTCAATTGCAGAAGGCGGTGCTCCTCGATACCGCCCGCATCGTCCGCCGGTTTCTTTCCTTTTCTCCCTAACCCTCGGCCGTTTGGTCTCCCCTGCCGAGGGCCTCCATCTGGTTGGGCTTTTATTTATTTATTTATTTTTATATATAGTTTATGTAATTGATATTTATGTATATTTATCTTTTCATTTTCATTTATAATTATATATTTATAGAACCCAACCAGATGAGAAAACTATGTTGATATCCCACATAATAATAATTTATTGTTTCTCACATAACTTTTACAAAGAAATCATATTGAAGCTCTGTAGCCCGTGGTAGTTGAAAACTGTGTTGCACGCTACAGCATCTTCCCCCGTTTCAGTGACACAGTTGTATTGTGACCAACAATTATAGCAAACGGTATAAAAAAATTAATTAGAATGTCATCAAAAATAACACATAGGTGTAGCGGCGCTGTCGTCGCGCCACAATCGAAATACACCGAAGTCTAAATCACGCTATTAACATTCCGAATCATAAACAGTATACTCGTATATAGAACTTCTCCGAACTATCACTAGGAGTGTTGGCCGCTCCCCGGGCAGAACACCTTGCCCGGCGGGAGATCTCCCCCTTTTCCTACCACGGTCACATAGCTAACAAAGTATAAAGAGAAAAAAAAACAATAATAATAAGGTAAATAAAAAGTGTGTGTGTGTGTGTGTGTGTATGTGTGTGTATGTGTGTGTGTGTGTGTGTGTGTGTGTGTGTGTGTGTTGCGTGTGTGTGTGTGCGTGTAAACGTCATAATATTGTATAAGAATTATTTAGTGGAAACAATAAGATTCTCAGTAGCGTCATAGTCAAAATTACTTAACCACTTTAGTAAAATTGACTTAATATTATGATTACTTAGATGGGCGGTTTTAAAAATTGTATTTAATTTGTTGTATTGTAATGTAGCAGAATAGTTAAAGTGTTTTCTAGCGAAGTTGCTCTTGTAGGCAGGCAAGGGATAGCGGACCGTCCTCTTATCACTTATTTGTATTTGAGAAGCAGTACTTTTGTGATATTTACGAATAGAATGGAAGATATATAACTTTCGTATGGTAAGTACGCCACATATTTTGTATAAGTCCTCAGTCGGTTGTCTAAAAGGTAGGATTTTAATAACTTTCAATAATGCACGTTGTGCACGTTCGAGTTCGATAAGGTGTGTTTTAGCTGCCCCACCCCGAGAACTAATGCAGTAAGTCATAACATATTCTGCAAGGGCTTTATATACTTTCATTATAGCCTCATTATCTAAAACATCTCTTAAGTTTTTAAACACATATATGAGCTTCCTTAATTTATTACTAACAGCAGTGATATGTGCTAACCAATTTAACTTGTCATCAATAATTACGCCCAAGTATTTTACATTGTCACTACGCAATAAGTGCGGACAGTTACATTCAGGTGTGGTGGTTGGAAACCTGTTACAAGGAAATTTATGTATTACTAATTTTGAATTTACACTCGGCTTGCAAGCATTTGTAATGCTAAAGCTTAAGAACTTTGTTTTAGACGTATTTAATGATAGTAAGTTGTCTTCCAGCCATGCTGTAACGGTTTTTAAACCTTCTTCAGCTAACTTGTATACTGAGTTCCAGATTCGTTCCCGAAATAGAAGTACAGTATCGTCTGCAAACATCTGAATTGTTGCACCATTTAGTACTATATTACACAGGTCATTAATGTAGATCGCAAACATCGTGGGGCCCAGTGTACTTCCTTGTGGAATACCATATGTACAGGATGCGCTGTCACTTAGTAAATTATAAAGTCGTACGCTTTGTTTTCTTTCACTCAGATAGTCTTTAAACCACATTAGCGGGGTACCTTTTATACCAAAGCCTTCCATACGTGCCAGTAGGATGGGAATAGACACTGTATCGAATGCTTTTTTGAAGATCCAAAAATACACGGAGGCATTTATCACCCGCATTCAGATGATTGACTATTTGTGATGTAAGATTTTGAACGGCATCATCCGTAGATCGTCCGCATCGAAATCCAAATTGGATATTGGATATAAAGGAGACAATCAATTTTTCTATGGAGAATGGGCCCACTACAAATTTTAGAGATTATCAATGAAATGCATGTCGATTTATTCCTTATAATCCATAGATTACAATAAAATTATTAGTTTTACTGCATCTAAACGGAGTCCTGAGAAATGAACAAATAAAATATGAATCTAACAATAACCTAAAAACAAACTGAAAGTGATTTTCTAGTAGTATTCATCGGTATTATAAGTTAAAATAGTGCACAGTTGAATAATAGTACATATAAAACTAAGCTGTAGATATATTCAGCATTTATAAATATTTTAAAATCGATGTAAAACCTTTCACTAGTTCCGGCAAAACATAGTGCCTGTCTATGCACAAATGTTGTATGGATTCTAAGTTTGAAGTTTGACATGTATTGATTGATTGTGAGTGTAATTCTAAATACCAAGATGGCTAAGGGATAATGTCTATTTATATTTATGATATTACCAACACACAGTAAGATGTTTTAAACTGGTTGTATTACAAAAAACAAAATATAATGTAGTTAATTCTATTTATTATTGTAAATCATAATTTATTTAAGTATTCTATTAACAGTAGTAGGTACAGAAACAGAAACCTTTTATTCAATTTAGATTATAAATAATACTTATTGAAAGTCACTTTTTTAATTTACCACTGGTTCGGAAAAAACCTCTGACTTGAAGAGAACCAGCAAAATACCCAGTGGGTCTTTTAAAAAAAA